CGAAACAGAACATCGAGATTAATAACTAACTCTACTCTCTCACATTTGTCTCGTACGAGTAAACGCTCGTATGGCGTCTATTCCGTAATATATATATATATATATTATATATATTGTCGTACAATTGATATCGAATGTTGGCGTGACAGAGGCACGTCCCGTGCCACCGATGGCTCTCCGCTCGAAGATCGAGAATCGGATCTACGAGACGCTTCTTTTCGTCGGCGCGCGAGGACGTTCCATCTTCGTTTCCCGTTTTAAACTTTTGTATTCGCTTCTCTCCTCGGATTATAATAACGTTTCTGACCGATTTTACAATTAATTAGACCTGAAGACATCCTTAAAACCTTACAAGGACGCTTTTACACGTCCCCGCGAGAACAATAGACTGGTTCCTCTGTTGTTCGTCCGGGGTGATTAGCTACAACTGTCGCGTATCATTATAGTTATTACATAATGTATATATATGTATGTATGTATATATATATATAATATGTCGTGTATATAATATTCTTGTATCGAGAGTACGAGTGTTGTGTTAATGTGATATTATGATACATGTGGACTAGCACTCATTGAAATCAAGGAGGTAACATACGGTTACATATAGAGCCTACCGTACCGTAACTAGCCTACGATGATAATCTCACCTTAACGATCCGTTATTTCCTTTTAATTTCGTTTAACGCTATTGTTTAATCTTTAAGTTCGTTACACAGAGACATTGAATAATAAAGTAATTAAGAGACGAGCGCTCGTTCGCCTCGATCATCGTGGCGAAACCGTGGATCCCCGTGCCATTGATGATATCCGGCTAAATTCTATTCGCGCGACGAGAAGATTGCTTCGATAATTATTCATCCCTTCCACGATTCGTTGTAACGATTTCTCGTAATAATAATATCTTGGTGTTTCGTTTCACTGTTTCACGGGAGAATAAGCGTTGGATTTGAAGAAGAATTTGGAGGGAAACAAGGAAGAAGTAAGTAAGCGAGTTAAGGGAATCTGATTAACATTAGATCGGGGAAATTGATTTGAGCGAAGGTAAATATCGTGTGTTTATAGGTATTTAATGAAACGAGATTTCATTCGTGTATTTAAATGAAAACGGTAAGCGGGAAGGGAAAGCAACGAGGCACTAAATCGGCATTCGAATGCCATGAGCTGGAATCGCCAATTCTGATTGGCACGAGGCACGGTCTCGCCTCGACGTGTGATAACGTTATAACGCCCGTTGTATGTATCTCTACCTTTTCTTCGGCGGAGATGCTCCTGGAACGTATATTTCTAAGCGTGTGTGTGTATGTGTGTGTATGTGTGTGTATTCTAATCTATTCACGATCGAATGCGTTTCGAAGCTTCGTCACGCGGTTCTTTCGAATCGAGATTGTGATTTTGGATCGAGTTGGATCGAGTGAAAGAAGCCTCGAAACGACGACGATAACGCAATATTGCGTTCTCGTTAGCGTTATCATCGCGAGTTTGCTTCGATTTCTTTTCGTTTCTTCTTTCTTTTCTTTTTTCCTTCCCTCCTTCCTTCCTTCTTTCCTTTCTTTCTTTCTTTCTTTCTTTCTTTCTTTTTTTTTTTTGGTTTTTTTATTTTCTTTCTTATGATTTTTTGTTTTTTACTTTTTTTTTGGTTGGAACTTATATCTACGATGTCGTTATCCAAGGCATCTAAATTAGTTCCACGATCTTAAAGTAACTCTATGAATGGTAAATTCTTAACCAACAACGGTATTACGGTGACGCAAGGATCCTAAGTAGATTAGCTTAATTGTAATATTATTATTTTTTTTTTTCTTTTTTCCGGCAAGAAGGAAACAGAGATTTTGAACGAGGAAATTTCACGCGCGATAGAGCGCCAATTTTTATAAAAGATCTCTCGCTGTGTGTAGCGAGAGAGGCGGTGTACGCGAATCTTTTACATCGAAATTAAAAAGATCTATCAGCTTACTATAAGTTTCCACCAAGACACGCGGTGGCGCTAAAACGACGAAATAAAAAAAAGTGACGCGTAACACGAAAACACGATCAAAACCTAATGGAAAGGTGTTGTAAACAGGCTGCTGCTCACTACATCACACGGGCACTAAAAAACAAATTACAAACTCGTCGATCGAAGATTCTTGCGAAGCATGATCGAGCAATTGTTAAAAATGCTTAAACGTTGTGAGCTTTCTTGCGCTTTTTTTTTTACATTGAATCGATCATCCGCTCGATCCGTCCTCGACAAACGTCTTCATAATTAATTCGATAACAATGATATCTCTGATCGGGTAATGATTAATCGCACGTAGAACAATCAAGGTGATGATTGAAACTAAATCGATAACTAAATCGTCTAATCGTTTTTTACATTTTTTTCATTGAAAATATCGCGATAAAGCGCGATAACAATTGACGATCGTCAAATCCACAGATTTATTCGTTGGAACAATAATCTTGTATACAAAAAGAGAGATTGGGTTAAAACGTTGCACAGAAACGTTGTTATCGGATTTTCTCACAGATGATCGTTACCCGGTTCGATTCCGCTTATAATAATTTCGCTTCCTATGAAATGGATAATCGCTAACATTTCTTCCAAAAAAGCGTGCTCGCTAAAATCGCTAGTCGTCGTAGGTAATCGGTAGTCAATGCCGTTTATTCGTCTAGAGATTGCAACAACACCTGAACCCAACTGCCTCTTCTAACTGTCGTCTTTTTTTTTCTATTTCTTTTTTTTTTTTTTTCTTTTTTTTTTTCTATCCTACCTAGTGCTTAAACTTGCACCCCTGAGATATTCGTTATCTTTAACCTTGTCTACGTATCAGTACGGATTCTGTAGGGATCGAATTCGTCCATTTTTAAACGAATCTATCGAGCTTTCTCTCCTTTTTTTTTATTTTTATTTTTTTTTTTTATTTTATTATTTTTTTTTTTTTTTT